AAAGTAGCTGGGCTCTTTGAGCCCAGTCCATCTCTGGTCTCCGCAATCGAGTTGGCTGTGAGGACATGCACGCCCGGTGCATGTATGATCTATGAAAGATAATATAACGAGCAAATATTAAAAGGTTGAAAGGTTGAAATTTCAAGCCTTGTACTGTCTTTCATTTGAACAGAGTACAAAATTTGGCGACAGTGCCATTTTCTGATAATGTAACAAATTACTTTTAGGATTAAGGACTAACTATTCCAGTTGACATAAACAATTCTTCAAAAACATTTTATTAATAAAAACCCTATGATCAGCGAGATAAAGTAAACTACACAGTTGACTGCGCTCCTGCCACCTGTTTGATGGCTCTGCACATCGGTTGAAACAGTCACGCAACCACTCGTCACCTCAGTCAATCCACTAGTGACCACTGCTTATAGCGTTTGCGACTTGCCAACGCAATTTCTAATCACTATTCATGGGCGGTGCACCTTTGCATAATCCCATTGCATAATTGGCTCGTTTTCGCGCGCAGTTAGTATTTCGTATCCCGTTTCAGTCACAAGAAATGTGTGCTCAAATTGGGCTGACCGCTGCCCATCCTGTGTCACGGCCGTCCAATCGTCCGGCCATGTTTTATCACGCCACGTACCGAAGTTAATCATAGGCTCAATAGTGAAAATCATGCCTGCCTTCATAATACCAATCGCCTTATTCTTTGCATAGTGAGGTATGGTAGGAGAGCAATGAAATAGCGAACCTATACCATGACCACAGTATGTCTTGACAACTGAAAAGTCTTGAGCATTGGCTACCGCCGCGATGTGCTTGCCGAGCTCTCGAAACATGGTACCAGGACGCACAAGTTTGGAAGCAACAGCCAGACTTTCAAACGCCGTCTTTACCAAACGTACGCCATCCTCATCTACGTTGCCAACTAGATATGTGTCATTGAGATCTCCGTGGTAGCCATTTTTGTAAACTGTCACGTCAAGATTTACAATGTCTCCATCTTCGAAAGGACGAGAGTCAGGAATACCGTGGCAAATGACTTCATTTACAGAGATGCAAACGGACTTCGGAAAGTGATAATAATTAAGTGGTGACGGGTAGCAACCGCGGTCTATGCACGCTTGATGTACAATCTTGTCAATCTCATCACCAGTCACACCTGGGCGCAGTGCCTGGCCCGCAAAATCTAAAACTTCGCGGCCAAGACGGCAGGCCTCACGAATGCCTGCGATTTGCTCAGGCGTGTAAATCGGAATGCTCTTGCTCGCTTGTTGCTCCGATATGGGAATACCCGTATCTGCATAGTCTGGACGTTGAATGTGTTCGGGAACGACATTCATTTCTGACACCTTACCAGGACGCAATTTACCTGTAAATTCATAGCCGTCGAAACATGACGTTTCCTCAGATCGGGCGTGTTCTTCGGCAAGAGCTTGGGTAAACATCTTGTGCAGTGCTTTATGCGATGACCAATATCCTTTAAAACACTGCTGCGAGCAAAATGTGCTCATTGTGGGTGGAATCCCAAGCTTTTTGCACGTCGGGCAGACGAGGGAGCCGCTCTTGCCACATGTCGGAGTCACACAAGAAGCGCCTCCCATTATGTAACGAAAGCGAATGGCTGTCGCTGAAAATATTTACAAAATAGTGTTTCTTACACAAGCACGAAAATGTCAAATAAATTATATTTAACGGTGTGACACTGGGTCAACCACTGTTTTTTGCGTTCTCACTATTATTTCAGATCCAAACCACCAGATCGGTTCGTTAGACACATGAAAAAGAGAAATTATCTTTTTCTAGAAGATGCAGCTCTTGAGCCAGGTTTTGCTGCTGGAACTCGTTTTGCACCTCCTTTTATGATATCGCGCTGACTTTTTTCGCGACAAAAATTAATATGGCGCTCGGCAGCTTTTTCGTTAAAGCGACGACTACAATACTCGCACTGGATTAAGCTCGGATCAGGGGCAGATGGCTGCATTGGCGGTAACTCCTTGCCTTCTTTGAGTGCCTTTGAAACCTCACGACTTGCTTTCATAGCATTGCGAAACATATCACTTTTTTGTTTCCAATCGGCAGCATTTTTCACCTTTATCGGTATCTCCATAGCCGACATCGGAGTATTCGAGAGTCCGCTATTTTTTTTATTGGATTTAGCTTCTTTTAGAACCTTTTCTGCCTCAGTTCCTTCAAGCCGCTTAGCTGCCATATTAAAAACTTTTCGCTGCCCGGAAAAAACCTTTTCGCAAATTTTGCGGTGCTTCTGGAATGATGCGGGATTGAATTTTCGATTACAGTTATGACATTGCTCCATTTCTTCTGTGCCGTCTGCATACTCGTCCTGTGCCAAAAATCAATCCGTCATTAAAATAGTAAGTGGAAAATACATGGCCATTGTGATGTTGAGTCTCGTACAAGTTCTTCGGGCAAATTAAATCCTGTAAACGTGGAAGAATTAGCCTGAAAATTTTCAGTAAGGTTTTTGTTGGTCATCACTGGCTGGACTGGAGCCCGTCGTGATGCAATATTTTGTCTCGGAGGCTGACTCGGAGCATCTGAAGATATTGGCGAGGATAATGGCAAACGTGCTGAATGAACCACGGCACTAGGTATGTTCTTCTCTACGAACAATGAAGTCTTATTTGTCGGTGCACTTCGTGCTTTTCGACGAGACATCCTAGACTTCAGTAACGCCAACGAGTTCTGTCAAAGCATCAAATGAGGTCAAGTCAGTAAACATCTAGGACTAGAGCAAGTTTTTTCGTTTCTTGCCCCCATTTCATTCGCACTGCAATCGTTTTGTCGATATCCTGATAAACCCATCCTCGGCTCCCTTTGACAAAGGGAAAGGGCTTCTGCATTGACATTGTTCACGTAGCTGGAGCTGGGAAAACCTGCATCACATTTTGGGCATCCACAGCTTGAATTTCGAAGACAGGGGCCAGTGTGAATCCGTTTTGGTGGTGGGACCAACTTTTCCTTAATTGGAAGGTCAGCAATTTCTCGTCCTGTCGCCCTTTTCACTTCTTTAAACAAGGAGTCATGCTCTAGGTCAATTCCAGTGCTTTTATTAGATCTTCTATGTTCAAATCTTAAGTAAATACACAGGTTGCTTACCTTCTTTAGGAGGTCTTAGATGCAGTGAAGCCATCTGCTGATGAGGAGCCCTATTCAAATATTTGCGCGATAAATTTTCAAGCGCGTCGACATCATCACCACTTGCGTCCAGCAATTCTGGATAATTATTGTTCCGATCGGAGTTATGAAAAGTCATACTGTCGGATTTAACGACTCTCTCAAATCCTTCACGAGAGACTGGCGGCGACGATTGATTTCGAGTCCTTTGATTGACTCTGCACATTTCGCATCAAGACACAACTCCCAATTATATAACTTAAGATGGACGACAAGAATATCAACGCTCACTTTGGAGAAAATGTATGTTCGTCTGAAAATAATCCGTGTTGGCGTTGCTCACGAAGTTGTTTTGCTCGGTCCTTTTTCAATTGCTGTTGCTTGGCATAATCGGTTGGATCACAACGCAAGCGAGTAGCAATCTGCTGCATAATTCAACACACAGAAAAACTACAGCACTTGGACTAGCACACACCTCTAAAGCTGACCTAGTAAGTGCAAATCGCCAAGGCTCACAAGATTTATGACTATATACAATCCTCATGAATCAAATGCTACTATTGATATCACTACGTCCGTTATTTACTGTTTCAATATTAATAGGTAAGATAATGCCTACTTTGTAGGGCGGGTTGTAAGCAACTCTCTAACCACCTCGTGAGCCCACGGCCCTTTGTATTGTTGTGAGTGTGGAATACTGAATTCATCAAGCTCAGTTTCAGCCATTAATATCTGCCAAGGTAAAGCTTGTCAAATAACAATTGTCTAAGAAATAAACTGACCCGCTACTCACCTCCTCGTCTGCCAGCTGTGACTTTTTAACGTCAGCCATGAACCCGCATGGATCTTGAGCAAACTGAGTCATCCACTCTTTTTTTCGCGTGTACATTTGCAGTCGCTGGAGAATATCCTCTTCCTGTTTCTTAAGCAATGACAGCTCTTTGCTATGGTCTTGCTTTAAATCTTCGTATTCTCTTAAAGCACGAGCTCGTATTATATCAAGCTCAGAAGTTGCTGCGACTGAAACGTCAAAGAACTTTTCATCCAGCAACTCTGCTTCACAAGCCGTTGTTAAATTCAGCGTGTATTCGAGATTGATCATGTTGATTGGCGTCAAATGTTGCCGAAGTGCCACGATGATTGAAGTAAATGGCAATGACACGCAATTTAGTATTTGCAGCAGCCTATCATCGCAGAAAACCACCCGACAGTCATCCTGTTTGATAAGATTTCGCAGCTTGATGTACTCCCACATTGCCAATACTATATCTTGCTTTGTGTATGCCTTGGCAGGACCTAGATATTGACCTATTACTGCTTCTAACTCGGATGAGACGGTAAAGCGTTCAGGGGTCTGAGCCGGAAACAGTTTGATCTTCACGGTATGTGCCGTGTTACCCGTCCTTGACACCTCTAAGCCATCTACGTCATGGCTTGTCCTATGGAAACTTGTCCACTGATATAAAATCGTGAGAACATTATAGTTAGATAATTACACAAGTAATACTTACTTCAATTACGTGGTCCGAGTATAGAAGCGGGTCCAGCTCAATAGATGCCTTGCGAAAGTAACTCGAGAATTTCTACAACATTGACAGATACTGTTAGACTAATAATCACAGCACATCCTGTAAGCAACATACCACATTCGTCGGCTCCCCTGCTGTGGCGTCCATGCCTTCGATCCGAAGCGTCCATCGACCAGGAGTCGCTTGCGGATTTCCCGTAGCTTCCAGAGGTGGGGCATATGAATAAAACACACGGACACGCAGTAGTTTGGTCTCCGCCGGCAGCGGATAAAAACGTTCTCCGCGTAGCTCGCGTTCCATGGCCAATAGACGCGAGTTTAGCAGTTGATGAGCCGCTTGCGTGCGCTTAAGGAGATCGATCTCGCGCTCACATTCCCACTTACCATGGAGAAGGTCCTACTTTTGATTAAGGTGGCAGATATATAAAGGCTCTGTTACATTGTGCGGTGTGAAGATAGGATGACATGCACTAACCAATGGCAATTTGTCCGTCATGCTCGTTGGAAACACGTTATAATAACTTTGATTTTGGACCAGTATTATTAAATTGATAATATCGTGAGGAATTTGATTGAATTAACGCTAGACATGAATCATTCACCCCTGAGGTTGTTTTTACCGTTGTTACGTTCACTACTGGACTGCATGTTGTTGCGGCGATATGATTAACACTTTCATCTTCTAACCATGAAGAATGTGGGGAGAATTGTACTTACATTTCAACGAAACTGTCCTGACCTTCAACAGCGGAACTTTGACTTCGTTAAACTATGCACACAGGTAAAGCCTTTCAAGTACCTACTGGCTCAAATTATGTACGGCATATTTATATCGAGGCTAGTTGACATTGATCTTTTTACATACTTCTCAATTTGCCGGCTACTACGCAAGTCAAATCCCTAGAAGTACTCCCAAGCCCCCAGCCCTCCACTCCAGTTGCTACTCCCCTTTTCTGAAGATGAAATACCCAGC